GTATAATTTCCACTGTTAACACATTGTTTAAATAACATATATTTTTTCTTTTTCTATTTTTTGTGTGAAAAAGAAATTTTTCATTTTCATGTTTTACTTTTTAATAAACTCCATTCGCAGAATTATTAGAAAAAAACAAGTTGAAAATTTGGGCAAAGAATATACTTTGTATTTTTTAGGGTAATACAGACATTTGATAAGACAACTCACCTTTCCGCTGTACTTTTTTTTTTATTTCCCGACCACGTAAAAAATACCATTGTTTGCTGCTGGTGTCAACACTTATACGTATGTTGCGTTGTCACGGCAATCGTTGTCGTTAAAGTTAAATCAACTATAATGTGATTGGTTGATTTTATAAAAAAGTATTTTAACTATACTTTTCAACATCATAGTAGCAAGAATTATTTATTTTTTTTTTATACTTTATAGTATTGTTACGAAAAACATAAATAGACTTTAGCTTCATTAAATTAGTTGTACTACTTAGTATGATTTCAAACAGCGTGTTTACTAGTTGCGTTTCAACTTAATGTCCACAGATCGACTACATTAAATTTAATAAAGTAAAGGCATTGCAATGAATTTCACTGGTTATAATTTCATATTTCAATTCTAATTTTAAACAATATATTTCATGAGTAAGCCAAGTGGTTCGCAAAACATTACCAATACTTTCTTAGATTTTTATTCATATATTATTATCGGTTTATTTCAAAACCGGAACACGGTCTCTGTTTGTTCCACTCGAACGCATTCGTTGTACCAGTAAAACGTAATATATTTTGAATTATTTCGCTATAAATATTTACCTCGTTAAAGAGAAACAAAACACGTAACAAAATGTTAGATTTTCTTGATTGTAAATGTATATTTTAACGGTCGAAGCTAAGACATTCATTCGTCGAGCAAATAAAATAATGATATTTATTGGAATTACTGTTTGTTTAAAAAAACCAACATCCATACCAAAGGAGTACATTAATTTCTAGAACTACGTTCGACTTTCAATAAGTACATTGAATACTCACAGCTTATGAAATATTGCATTATATGTGTGCTCCACAGATTTATAACTTCCTTTTACAAATTGCGTTTATTAAAAATATTTGCCTTTCTTATCAAAGATTTATTAATTTTTTTATTGTTCTTTGTCTGTTTCCTGTGTAATGAAAATTTTAACCCATTGAAATATTTACTTCAATGTCCAACCATACCCATTTGCTCGACGTTGATCTTAATTTATTATTGATTAAATCGATTTATACAGATTTTTGAAATATTTACTCATATATACATACGATATATATATATATATAAATAGTTTTATCTATATATAGTTAAAACCATTTTAATAACATTTAAAAGACTAATCGAAATTAGGCATAATAATGAAAACTACGAGAAAAAAAAATTGAAAAAATTTAATTATTAATTTATTATGTAAACATAATATATATATATATAATAGCTTCTTACAGGAAATGTATTATTTTTTCACTACTTAATCGTAACTTCAATATACAAGTAAGAAAAAATATAGACAAAAATATTTTTTTAGTCATTTAATTATTTTAAAATGAAGTACATTTCAATTTGATTAAAAATCCCATTAGTTAGAATGCATCCTTGATAATTAAACCATCGTAGTAAAACATTGTCTAAATTCAGGTGCATTAAATTTCGAAGGCTCTTAACTGATAATGTTTCGTTTTGAAACCCTCGTTCTATTTTGCCTCAAGATCTACTCTAGCACTATAAATTAATATTATCGCTTGTTATAGTGCCAACCTCGGATAAATATAGTAAAAAACATGACACATTTTTTCAGTGTAATCTAAAATAGCAGTCATCGGTAAATTCATTATAAAATCGTCATTATAATCGATAGGTACAAATAAGTACATAGATAATAGAATTCCTACGGGGACTTGCAATTTAAGGTCATTATAACCGGTATTATTATAAACTGTTTCTATTGTTCATATAAAACACAATGAATAATCAGAGAAAATTAATATTAAATATTACATCGATATCGCCTGATAGTTTTCGATATATCTCACAGAAGAACAAAATCACAATCTTTCGAAATGGCCAACTCGCACTGCATTAATAGGCAGTAAAAAAAAAAAAAAAAACGTAAGCCGATGATACACAACGCATAACCGATATGATTGGGTCAACGGCTGAACAAAGTACGAGTATCGAAAACGGTCGATTATTTCAACCGAAACATACCTTTACCTTTTGTCAACTATACCTACTGACCGACCGATGCGATGATACGTCCGAGAACTGTTGTGAATTCTTCATTACGTGCGTTCAAGATCGATCGGTCCGACTTTTCGGATTTCGATCCATGGACCCTACGAATTCGGTTTGAATATTTTAAGATTTAAGAAACTAAAAATGTATACGCCCGTACCTTACGGTACGCCGGAAACATTTTGAACGAATCGTTTGAGCACGTTACACGTAGTGCGAACAGTGTACGGGCGCAGCGGCATCGGGGGGTAACAGATGAAATCGGCCGGGAAAAAAAAAAAAAAAAAAAACCTCCCTTACATCGGTCGTACAGCCGAGCACTAGGAAATACGTGTGTACACGTCGATGCCGTTGTTGAAATATCGCACGCGCGCGGATCACGAACGAACATATATTACGCGTGCGATGTTCAACCGGCAGAAAAGTTGCTTTATTCCGGACCCCGGGCGGGAATAATTCACGTGGCGGTGAAATTAATAGTAAAATATGCGTGTACCTGCATGGTCCCGGACAAATCACCGCGGGTTGTTGACCGCGAAACAAATTGACCGGCTTAAATCGAATATGTGCCCGTCGCGCTAGGGGGTTGAATTTTTGATACGATGTAACGGGTAACCCGCGCGATTTTCGAATATCGATCGCTTTCCGCGAACCGCGCCATTGCGGGACGTGGTACTCGACGATAGTGTAATGTACAATATAATACGGTTCGCGCGCGATTGATGAACAAATCAACACGCGCACTCGATACCGTTCGAGTACTGCAACATCACGGTAAGCCACGGTCGTTACTATTCTAATCAAGTTATTCCACTCCGGCGGTACGTCTGTAATATACTGTAGCCGTCGTGATTCGTTTTTCAAGACAACGGACACCGTGCAGCTGACTGTTTACTCGAAATTTAATCAATTTTCTACGGGGAAAAAAATCTCATAAGCTAACTCGAGAAAAAATTTATATATTAAAGGTTAGGTTAGGTTAGTTATTTTTAAAAAAAAAATACCAACCTTCCTTACGGTATTACATACGATTATTATATTATCCTAATACTAATACTAATATCTAATACTCGTACGGTTTACTTGATGAATATTTTTAAATTTAATCGTTATAATGTTCTATTGTATGGTAGGAATAGAAACGTTTTTATGCTTATAAATATGTATATGCGGGAAAAATATTCCTTTTCTTTTTTTTTTTTTTCATTAGAACTAAAAGTAACTCGAGCGTACAAATTAAACTTCAAAAATCGATGACAGTTTTAAAAATTCTATAATTTATCATCTTTACGGTACATCAAACTTTCAGTTGATTGCACATCCATCGAATAAAATATTCGGTACACGTTTACCGTTTCGTCAATGAGTGTTTAAATAAAACGCATCATTGTAAATTCAGTAGCATCGTCACTCCACTCAGATCCTCAAATATCCTGTAATAAACTTAAAAATATTAATTAATATGTTATTATTATTGATGGGTTTGAAATAAAATTCGTTTTAAATAACTGATGAATAAAAATACATTTCCTTGTTTTGTAAACATATTTTCTCAATTTAATTATACTGATAAATTACATTTTTAAATAACATAAGGTAATAATGATTATCAGAAGATGTATGACGAATTGTTTATTTTTTTGTGTTCAAATAATCGTCTGTTTGCGTAAAAATTATTAAAAAGTAATCACTCGAATCTGCTACTGACGCTTAACACTGAGCGTACTGATATTTTGTTCACAATAGCGGCAATGTGAACATACACTGGATATGAAACCTGGGTCCGATGGGTCCGAAACTTTAATACACATGAATGTATTCGAAGAAGAAAATATATCATTTTATTTATATAAATCCACAAAAACTTTGATCGATTTCGATTTTAATTTATTTTTCGATTATAAAATATATTTTTCTCGTGTAAATTCTTTACTCAAATCCTATATTGGAAATATATTTAGCGTAGAGTTACCCCCATAAATTTTATATATGATTTATTACTATTTACTATTGTCATACAATTGACATAAATAATACGTCTGAAATTCCTAAGATTGTTTTTCATAATTGAACTTTCAAATTGATATCTCAAAGAATATGGTAAAACGTAGACAACATGTTGTTGGTCGTTAAAAACAAAAAAACAATTATTTTGTTACAGTTCCGATTTAATTTATTGTGCTACGCTTTCTTTACGCTTTCTGCAATTAACATGCCGTTCGCTTATAATCCATACACGTGTATTGTAATCACTTCTACGACATCAAATGATCAAAAGTTCACGTTTTTTTCGTCTTTCCCCGTGCGTATTAACGTTACTGTCCGTAATACGGAGATATTTCGGTTTGCTAAGCACGCGCGTGTACTAGATCTTAAACACATGGGTATTGTATAGTATTCATAAAAATCGAAACACATTTTTCGGCGTGAACAACAAAATTAGTATATTTTCGCAGCGCTCAGTTTAATTTTATATAATACTTTCATCGATAAGACTCGTCCGTTGGAAAACGGTAGTGTGTGCATGGATGTCATAACGTCGCGTTTTATATTATCGCCGCTGCCGTCCGTTTCCGACCTCGGGAGCATTTCATGCACCTCTAGTTGTATTTTTTCATCTCGGCTCTCAAAATGACCGAACAGAAATTATAACATTAATAATGATGTTACATCGATTGTAAATTTAATGACGATGATTACTGACGACGTGTTTTTGATGTGTTCGCGTACAGGTATCGTGGATGCGGAAGAGAGATTTGCACATTCTGACGGCGGGAGTGCTGACTTACACCAGTGACCAGAGATTCCAAGTCATCCACCCGGATAACTCGGACAATTGGACCTTGCTGATTAAATTTGCTCAACCGAGAGACGCCGGGATCTATGAATGCCAAGTGAACACCGAGCCCAAAATGAGTTTGGCGTTCCAGCTCAACGTTGTAGGTGAGTCGAACGACCGGGCGGGAAGGAGTTACGCGGCGCGCGCGTTAGGGTTCCCGCGCGCACGTCACGTTGTTCTTTTGATAATGTTTCGCCACGTCCAGGGCTAACCCATACGTTCCTTCGGAAAATTAATTCGTAGTTTACACCACATGTGATACGTTCAACGGTTGTGTATGGACGAGTACTGAATTTATTGTATGGGAAACCGTGAAGGACGTCAAGTACATTATTATAACGTTGCTGTACCGTTGCGATGGTATTTTTTTCACTTTTCAAACGTTGTTTTTTCCGGCGGGATAAAACTGCGCGCGCGAAATTGGCATTGACGTTGCCAAATTCACTCAACGTGTTTTTAAAATTTATTACGAGTTAAAAATTATCAATAAAAAAGTGAATAATTCCAATAAGAAATAAACAATGCGATATCAAGTTTACTCTAAGTGAAAAAGTCATGCTTTAATTTGAACAGATGGGAAAACTTCTTTTGTTTCATCAATAGTACTGATTTCAAAATAAAGACGTAAAATTTCAATTTTTTTAAAAAGCGATAACTTTTCAAAAAAACTAAATATATTTATTCTCATACACTTATAAATGTGTTCTTTAATTTATTCGTTTATAAAAGAAAATTAACTTAATGTATGTGAGTACCGTTTTTATATCTATGAATGGTAAATAATTGCAAAAAAAAATCTGGAACATGATCGAATGTTTTGTCAGCAAATTAATTTGTTCAACGCTTTAAACATAGACGCTTCTCTTCAGCGTTTATGCAAATAAAAAAAACAATCGTCAGATAAACGAATACATTTTTCCGCTATAAACATAAAAAAAAACTCTTAATTTGTATCGATTAATTGTAATCGATTCGATTTCATAGTGGCATGTTCCAAAGATTTAAGAAAGGGCGGGAAATTTTTTCGTTTTTCAATGTAGCTTTTCTAAAATATTTTATATCTTAATGATTTAATGTGGTACTTCAGACGCTGTCTAATATATCGAAATTGGTGCCCCATTCACTTCTAATAAATCTCTCCCTCTTTCCGGACTCACACGGCGAATTTCATTTTCTACTTTAGAAAATCAATATGAACTTAAAATGTACGAACGCCGACTAACACGACCGAAAACATAAACCGCCATCATGTGCGTGGTTATGCAGTATATTCGCATCTGTATGACAATTTGCGACAAAGATAAAATTCTTAATATCAGTCGACGATATTGGCGCTATCGGGTATAGGAAAAACGTTATCGGTTCATACCATAACCAGCTATGATGTTTACCGTAAATAGGTTTGGCAACGTTGAATGAAATTGGAAATAATGTGGCGCAATCGTATGTGTAAAACGGGCGGCACTGCCGATAAGGACCGCGCGCAGCCGTGTCGCGCCCGTTTTTTTCACGATAGAACAGTAGACAATTAAAACATTACGGCCAATGATGTACGACCGCCGCGAAGTCGTGCCGAAAATAAATAGCACAACAATAGACGAGTGAAAAAAGTTTTATCGTGCTGATGATAGTACATTTTAACAACGATTATTTATGAAATCGAAAGTTATTCATCGACGCGGTGACAAAAACAATATTTAGGTCATGGCAAACTTTGCGAACAACACCTTTGTTCGGTAATCGCGAAGATCGAGGGACCTTAAGATCAGAAATTTTCTCGATTCGCGCATGCATGGACAGTTTATACACGTATACAACTCCGCAATGGAGCGAAGGAGTTCGATATAAGTGGCCCGTCCTTTTTCCGAGAAATTTATAACACACCCTCGGAGATTGTCGTCGTAAGTTCATATTTTCGTGCAGCGGCATACGAGTTCGAAAAGTTTTCGTCGCGAACCGTGACAAATAACTCGCTTTAAACCACCCGCACGGTTGTATTCAGTGATTTTGTAATTAAAATTTACCGATGTCGTTTGTTCGCCTGAACCCGTTAACCGGTGACTGCAGTGATGCGTGCGCACCACGGTGTGATGAGTGCACACCGTATGGTATTGTTCAGGCCGGTTCGGTCGTACTACGGGTAAAACCGCACACAAAAGACAAATGTTACGAGTATAATATATTTTTAATTACGTAGAAAGTACAACTAGTGCGTGTTGTTGGTAAGCACAGATTATCTACTCGTATTCTTGAAAGAATTCCAAGCTAGTGGAGCCTGAGTGTCGACAAATCAACAATTACAATACTTACATATTCTATTACTTGTCAACTTAATCGAACTCCGTCCTCCTACATTGAATTAATAAAATCATTGGCTTACTCGGGGATAATATTCTCAGCAGAGGTAATGTGCGCGAAAAACGTGTTTGCTCGTCGTATTCCCTCGGTGGTTGACACATTTTTCTCTCGCAAATAATATAGTAATATTATGTAAATATCAAACTCGTTACTTCGACGAGAAAGCTACCATACTATTTACGAGTATGTCATTAAAAAAAAAAAAAAAACATTTTGGTATCACGGGCAGATCTCTAAACGCACCGCCAGGTACAAAGTTAAAATTATTAAAATAAATATATAAATGTATAGAAATTAAGGTGAAGGACTTTGTTGCCTCATTGATGGAGTTCTTGACTCGTATCCGGCTACGTGTTCTTCGGAGTGCAAACTAACCCATAGCCATTCCGGAACTGTCATTTCTGTACTAAACGTATTAACTGCACATTTGGTCATGTGTTAGGTATACTAAACGACTATTTTAAAATACTTCAAAATATTATTGGTGGTGTACTATTGTTGTTGCAGGTAGCTGTGTATTTTGTATATATATATATATATCATACGTGATACTTAAAAGGTACACGTTGACCGTTATTTGTTTTTGATTCTTTGAGAACTTATTTCTAGAAATAATAACGACGTATATTTTTCACAAAATTGTTTATTATTACTTCTTTTATCGCTACTAGAATTCGTTTTTTTTGGTGTTGTTTTCCGTCGATGTCTTGTCGATTTTTTCACAGGTACGTACATCAGTCGGGTTTCACGTCAAAATATCTCCGGTAAAAATATCTCCGTCAAAATATATCTGACACAAAATATCTCTGGTAACAATATCTCCGACACGAAATATCTCCGGTAATAATATCTCTGGTACAAATTATTTTAAGAGAAAACAATGAATATTTTGAATGTAGATATTATACAACAGCATATTAGTAAAATATAATATAACAAGTATTAATAATATAGACCGAATAAGAGTATTTCTATGAGGAATTTAGAAATTTATTATGTTTTTAATTATAACTCTTTCGAGGTTGTTTCTTGAAGGAAAATTATCGTTTATCTATGTCGGTTTTCCGATAAAGACGAGCTGAATTTAACAACATCAATAATATTTTAAAACCGTATGAAGCGTGAGAAAATTTAAAATTTATAATAAATAATAATACATGTTACTTAATTAATGCATAATGGTGAGATAATTTAATTTTAAATTTATAATAAATTATAATAATTATAATAATTGAATCTGAAATATTTTTTGCGGAAATATTTTGACAGAACACCCATCAATCAAGTTTATCATAACTAGAGCTCGGATTTTTATGCACTTAAAAGTATCAAAATATGCCATATAATATGCAATCAAAATTATGAAAATATGCAAAAAATATGCAAGAATTTTTTATTTATTTAAAATTTATAATTCAACTTATAAAAATTAATTGCTTAAATACTTAATACAAAAAAATTTAGGGAATTTTCTGAACTTAATTTATTTTTAAAATTTTATTTATTATTAAAATAAATAACCATATGCATTTCAAGTTTATCTTCTGTGAAACTGTGTCGTTTATTGATTAACATACTTTTAAAGACTAAAAACGAACCCTCGATGTCAACCGAAGTTATTGGGGCATATTTGAAGAAAGTGGTATGTCGATAATCGATTGACACAGTAAGAGCGATTAAGTTTACGTCGTTATCAATTATTTATTTTATAACTAAATCTATATATAAATTATTATTTAGTGACTATGAAATTTATTTTTAACTTTTCTATTAGATAAAATATTAATTTAAACATTTATTTAAAAATTACACTTCAATATGGAATAAATTTTGAATTTTGCCAAAATATACAAAAATATGCAATAACCTCTAAATATGCAGAAATATGCAAAAAATTAAAAATTTCACCATTAGCTTCAAATTCTGATGATTCGTAGAGATAACTGACAAAAATCCAAAAATATTGAAAGAAAAAAAATATGCGATTTCATAGAAATCCGTGCTATAATCGTAACAGTTGTGTTCCCGCGAATATTTATTGAGAAAGCTGTATACCATTGCAAATACCATTGCATTATAAGACTTTTAAGTATTATTCAAATTAATGGAATAATATTTTTTCTGGACTTTTTTTTTTTCCATATAACTTAAACGATTACAAGTGAAATGAATTACAATTTATATTAAAATACAAATCGCACATTAAGCGCTCGCTCAAACGCACACATACGCATAACTATGTTTGAACTAAGTTTACGAGCTTACAACATTATTCGGGAAATAAATAATTGCCCATAACTCGTATACCTTGGTTGTTTGGAATTTTTATAAGCCGATAAAAAAAAAAAAAATAAAACAAAAAGAGAAAAAATATGACTGGTGTTAATACATATGGGCTAGTTATTATCAACAAACGAAAAAACGGAATAGAGAGGCGTCTATATACATACATGTACCCACCAAATACCCTTGGACGGTTAATCCATAATTTTATAACACTTTAAAATGCAATTTTACGCATGAAACCTCTGTGTCGGGACAAACGTGTAAAATATATTAAATTAATGGAGTTTTCATTAGCTGAACTTTATAGTTAAAGTGTGCCCGTATCTGCATAATTAAAAATACTAAAAAAATCATAAATATTGTCCGTTTTTTTTTTTTTTTGTATTTTTCGGAATTATTAAATTATTACCATCAGTATCAGACCGCAGATATGTATGTATATATATATACACATATCGAA